TAAAGCTAAGCAACAAAACACTTGGATTTGCGGAAAATGTAGGAACTGACGACAAAGAACAGGTGAAACTCAGAAAATTAGAATTTTACTTCATCCTTTTACTTCTTTAGTTTATCTTACTAAGTGAAACTATTATACAGCATGATATGACATTTTACCTGTATTACCTACTTTATTTAGGTTGATGATTGGATCACAGATTGTGAAAAGACTAACAATAAAACATTAATCCTTAATCATCAAAATGATATAATACTTATAATATATATAAGACTATGTTACTTTGCAGGTAATGAATATTGGATTCACATTTTATGTTGAATTACAGAAATAAATTCACTTTTGAGTGAGTTACCAGTTATCACTTCCTATACATGTGCTTTTCCAATGGATCTCCCCTGAAGTTATTTTTACTTTGAATTACTTTAACATTAGTTTTTATACGTACAAGATATCAAACATGGCAATGTTGGTAAGCCATAAGAAAATTTTATTTTTTTGCCAAAATCATATAGCCTTAAAACTAGTATTGAATCTAAATATTTTCATTGAGCAAGTATTGATAATATTGTGTCTCTCATTGGTCTCTCTCTTTGGTATTTCTCCGGTCTCTCTGCTTTTTCTGGTCTCTTCTTCTGGTCACTCTCTCTAGTCTTTTTCTGGCCTGCCTCCGGTTTTCCTCCGTCTGGTCTCTCTTGTCTCTCTCTATGGTTTTGCTCTCTCTGGTCTCTCTCTCTTGCCTCCATCGTTAATATTGTAACAACTCCACTAGGAACATATATTATACTGAATTAAATAATATTCATTAAAAGGCCATTACAAATTCAAAACGCAGTAAGTTTCGAGCCGTTGATTTCTCATTGATGTTTAATATTTGCCTCGCTCAGCCCACCTGCTGCCTCTTTTTAAGCGCGACAGTTGAGAGAAAGTATCTTGTGTCTTAAACGATCTGATAAAACGCAGCTCTAGTTTCAGCTGATTTCACCTCTGGGATCCGCGTGTGACGACTTTCCCCCATCAACATGACTGGACCTGGGCTTAGCAGCTCCATGCCATGTCCCTATCTGCAAGAACATGCTAATTAAAAACGCTAACTCAATTTGAACCGCTAAAAAAGTCCTTGTTCTATTTTTCTACCTGTAACGTGTCACTTGGGGGTTGGACAACCAAGGAATTCAAAATGAGTGTTAAAGAAGAAATATGATTAATTATTTTTGTCCTTTAAAATTGCTTGTGAGACTATTTACTTATTATTTATATTTAGTGTTTTAAAACTGGGAAATAATTGTCATTCACAAATTCACGGTGAAAAATGTATTAATCACTGTAACCCCGCCTGTAACTCCCTATGCTACCACCAGAGGGAGCACTAGATTGTTTTTGGTTTCTTTCCCAAAATTGAAAATTCCCGGCCGCAAACACAGCTATACAATTGCCAAGAATTACTTTTCACTTAAGAAATTGCCAACACTAATTTAGGGGTAATTATTTTGTTTTTAAAGAAAATTGCGTGATGTCATAGTAGTGCAGTGACATCATACGATTGATTACAGCACTGAGACCAGAGCTTTTAAACAGAAGGGGCGGGGTTACATGCCAGAAGTTCTTGATATTAGCATGGCTGGATCTGAAAACTCAAGGTCTGGGATGACAATTTTGTTACTTGCTTTAAAGAGAGGATACCCAAACTTTCAAACCTCAAAATAAATTAACTCTATAACAACATTTATGTAACTAGTCCGTCTCTCAAAAAAAAATCTTCCAACACTAGTTTTCACATGCATTATTTTTTGGCTTCTACTGCATTTTTAGATAACCTCTTTCTGACAAAAAAGTGAAAGAGAGGACCATCCTTTCTCAGCCGATCAACCCAAAGCTTCAAATAGTGACTCACAGGGCAACCTGGTCATTCCCAGTTGGACCAGGAACTATTGAGTATAACGCTACTTCCTGTGTAAAATGTACGATTTACGAAGAAAGAAGTTATCTACCCCAGCTTGAAAAGTGGTGTCATTTTCACTTTTCAATATATATCTTTATACATTTAACGCCGGCTGCGATAACAGCGTTGACACAAGGTCTTTTGAAATAACATTGAAAATACCACACAGCTCTATCCATTTTGGTGCATGTAAAGAGTGCTTGCTTATTTGCATTTAGTTTAGAAAGTACGATGCTTTGAAATTAGAAGTGGACTGGCGCTCCACATGCGGCGGTTATATAAAGTCATTTGACGAGCTCGCTGAAAGGCTGTTCTCCTTTTTTATGTAAAGATAATCATGAAAACTGAAAAGGACATTGCGTTGTGAGGGGACAAAAAATCACCCATGACATTTTTTTTTTTTATAAAAGGGGCCTCTTGAATGTACGTTGAAAGGCAAATTCTCAGCCTGTTTTGAATCGCATCTATTCTTTGGTACTGTATAGAAATATTGCCATAAATTATCATTACAACCACTATATTTACAACAGTATTTTAAAGCTGGTGTCTCTGAAATTCAAACCACAAAAAAGTAACTATTATACTAGTTTTCACATGCATGTATTTATGGTCTCTGTCACATGTCACCATTGGTCCAGGCTATTTACTCATTGCTTTGTAAATATCTTTTGTATGTGAACTGTGTTTTTATTGTATGATTTATGTGTTCTTGTTCTCCCCGACTGTCTGTGTTTTTTCTGTATTTTATTATTGTATGACTTTTATCTTTAGGGAGACTATGTACACCTGTCCAGGGACTGCAGATGAGAAATAGCCTGCTTGGCTAAATCTGGTGCATTTACAGAGAGGTTTTATTAATGCACAATGTCCCTGTCAACTAAACTAATAAAATAAATAAAATCTTTTAGAGCAGCTTTTTCAGACAGAAAAGTGTAAAAGAGAGGACCATGCTCACTTAGCCAATCAGCTCTCGGCCCAAAGCGTCAAATATCGACTCTCTGCGCATGTTTTCTAAAAAGATCAGCCAATGGACTCACTGGGTTCAGAGCCTATGCAGGAAAGGACTTATCTTTTATATATACTTTTTTTTTCTAGAATGTTTTTTGTATGTCTTCTGGTATGGACCTTTTACTCGAGTGTCCAAAATAAGGGATTGAATTGAAAATTTCGAAAAACGACAACATTAAGCGATCTACATTTTACACAAGGTCCTTTCTTTTGGTACAAACAATTATGAATAATATTGTTCCACTTGCATCCATCTAAGGTCGATTTTCAACTAATTACCAGTAATTAGTTGAAAAGTGCACATCGTTCAAACAACTTATGTATTATTGCTGGCCATGAAAATGATGAGACTTTTTACTTTGTCTTAAAGACCTTATGCCGGCTTTTTTTTTTTTTAAATTGTGGATATCAAAATTGCATGACAATGTCAATCTGAGGGAGTTTCCGGCAAAAAAAATTCTATATTTTATAAAAAGAACGTGTTTTTCATGAATTTAAGCTGTCTATGCTCTAACCCAGCCATTCCCAAACTCAGTAACACCGAGGCCCCCTTAAAAATTTGACGGGTCTGCGTGGCCCCCCAAAATAATAACCAAGAAGACAACATTAAGAATAGGCTCTTCTGGTTATTTTATTTTGGGGAAATAGCCTCTGCTACAAACATTGTAATACAAAAATGATTACAGTGGCTTATTCAAGTCAAATAATGAACACAAATATTTTAATATTACAAACAAAACATTATCAATTTAACATTAAATAATTATATATATATATATTTTTTTTATGACCTCCCGCGGCCCCCCTGCAGTACCCTCGCGGCCCACCAGGGGGCCGCGGACCCCACTTTGGGAGACACTGCTCTAACCTGTGTGTGACGTCATAGCGGGTAACGCCCATGCATTGAAAACCATGGATCTATGCCACAGGACTGCCTTTTCTCTCTTCTCTCCACTGATGCCCAACACAATACTGCACTCTACAGGTGACAATTGCTCACTACACATAAATTGCTGTTTGAGAGTGAAAAAGTGTGTGAGGTGGGATTTGAATCCCAGTATCTGGATTGGCAGTCCATCGACACAACCACTGGACTATCTCAGTGCCAACAAAGAGTTACAATCTAGTAGTTATCTCAGACTCGCTGTACACAGCCTTGTCATCTTGAATATCCGCGAAAAAAGAACGAATACCAAATTGTAAACAACTTACAGCGTTGAAACGTACCCACTCTGACGTCACCAAGGGCTGTGAAGTTTTTTCGTCTCTAAGGGCGTTGCTATGGGGTTATTTCGATTTGGGGGGATCAGACAAAAAAAAACAACAACTGATTTTGAAACCTTTAGTAGTTCTCTAATATAAAATTGTATTAAAACTGTATTTCTAAATAAATCAAACCCGTCAAAAGGTCTTTAAATGTTTTAGAACTTGAAATGGTATAGATAGAAAATATAGGGTGAGACAAGTCCCATTAACAAAGGTCTATTTTTAATCTACCACCAAAGTCAAATTTGTTTTGCTTTTACCAGTTTGCAAACTCAGATATGCAATCATAAAGAATGTAATTTCACTAATGTGCCATGCCGAAGCTAATGTATGGGCAATACTTTTGTTTAAAAAGTAAGAAAACTGTGATGTCATAGTGGCGCAATGACATCATACTATTACAGGACTGAGACAGAGGCTTTAAGACAGAAGGGGCGGAGTTTTGTGCCAGAAGTTCCTCATATTAAATCTTAAAAACAACTCTAGGTCTGTTTTGATGATCGCACAATGTTGCAACATGATAAAAAGCTGATAATAATAATAATAAATGTACTTTCTCCTCTTAAAAATGTTGCATATGTCTATTACCCGTCTCTATAGAGGAGGAAACATTGGGATCATGGCAGTGAGAGGGAACATCTCTCTGGGGGAGGTCTGAACACGGCTCCCCTGAAGCTCAAAGTACCTGCTAATCAAAGAGCTTAAACGCTTGTGCTGCAGAGCCAACCATGCATTCTCCTAAGCCTTTTGTCAATGAAGCCTGTTCAAATATTAACAGATGAGAATGTACCAGTGGGAGAGGTGCAGAGGTGGCCAACATAGACAGAAACATAGAAAGTACTGGGTTGAGTTTGACCCTTTCTGCTGGTTTCTGTCTGATAATTTGTGGTTACTAAGCTATAGAGCTTGAAATGAATATCCTGTTAAGTACAAAATTATACATATGCTTTTTTTTTTTTTCTTTGCTTCATTGCACTCAATTAGGGCGGCAACAAAGGATTATATTGATAATTTATAAAGTAATTTCTTCCAATGAATTAATGAATACATTCCTAGCTGGACTAATAACCACACAGATACATTTGAAAAGACTGTACATTTTGTCCACATTTTGGCCCCACTTGAATATATCCCCCAGGTTTTCATGTTAGTATAGAATGCTTAACCAGCAGCTGATGGAGCAAAACAAAACCACAACCCACAGACGACTGTTTGACTGATCAAAGATTTCCAAGATCAAAGAACACTATGGAGTCTGAGGAGACAAACATTAACCAGTAGCTTTCATTGTGTAACTCATTTACTATTTTAACAATAACAACGTCCTATAGCAACTAAAACTGGATGGAGTCAAACATAATAATAAAATCATAAACTCTGCTCTGACAACAGCCCTAATCACATAAAAACTCCTTGTAAGTGTGTAAGGAAGTAATGTTTATTTATATAGCGCATTTTACAAACCAAGGTCACCCAAAGCACTTTACAATGTTCAGAGTCAGATATTGTTCCAATCCGATGACGGAAGCGAGTCGTCGAACACACTGCCGCATCAGCCCCCATCAACACCATCCATTCACTCTCTCATTACATTCATACCTATTGTGCATGTTGTTAGTGGTAGGGGAAACCGGAGCACCCGGAGGAAACCTTCACAGACACGGGGAAAACATGCAAACTCCACTCAGAAAGGCCCTATTCCGACCAGGATTCGAACCCAGGACCTTCTTACTGAGAAGCGAGAGTGCCTTGTATCTTCTTGTGTAGCCTCTCTGCTGTTCACATAAACATAAACCCCAGGAGATACTCTACCACAGTAAAAATACAGACATTGGCCACATCGTTCTCAGGGTTTTATGAACTTGAAAAAAATAGGAGTTTATAGTCTGGCAATTACACGGTTATGTCATTTTGTGCTGTTGAATTGTAAATAAGGCAGTAAATGGATTGATGCGTAGTGAGACTGTTTAAATATTGCTTGTGTGGGTATTTATGCACACATAGCAGTAGGCAAAGACAAATTACTAACATGTATTTGATCTTCATGAACAAAGGAATGTAAATATTGTAAAGTATTCATGAAGGTAACAATTTCTGCTTGAATTAATAAATAACAGGAAATGAATAGAGAAAAAGCTGAAGTGAAACCACCGAAGGACATCCTATAGATTCCAGAACTGACCTAATGTGTTGTTGAAACACAATTCCTTTTTTTTTTTTTTCATTTAATTATTGCCTCTTTTAGCCTTAAATATCACTTTTCTCAGAACAACACGTCCTCTGCTTGACATTTATTCTAAAGTAGTATTATTGGGGGGGAACCGCTTGGGCAGTAATACTTCATAGATTAACCACAACCTACATGGAGTACATTTCCCATAGCTTTTCCACTGTTAAAGCTGGGGTATCGAATTATTCAATACAATCCTTCTAACTCATCCCTGGCTCTCAAAACAGTTTGGTTCTATCACTAGTTTTCGCAGGTATGTATTTTGGGCCTCTGTCACATCTTTAGATCTGCTTTTTCAGACAGAAAGGTGAAACGGAGATGACCCTCCTCGCTCAGCCAATCAGTATCTAAGCCCAAAGCATCCAATACATACTTATTGGGTCATTTCTACGAAAATAAATACAGCATGTTGCGGTCTTTTTTCTTATTTTACAAGAATCCCCCTGTTGGGACAAACGTGTATTTAGGGGGAATTGTTAGGTCACCCCTTTTCACGTAGTAGCTGTAACAACCACCTCATAGATAAATGGTAAGCATAGTAAATATTGAATCACTCTAATTTGAAATATGCTCCAAATGTTGTATTTTGATGATTTATGTATGTGTTTATCGATGCGTTGTGTGATTCCTAAGCCCTGCTGTGTATTTAAGATATGTTTGATCTCTGGTCGGCAAACTATTCCGTTGGTCTTACAAGATACTCTTTGAACTGTAACCAGGCACAATAGGAAAGGAGTTTGGCTCTAACATTGTCGTCCGTCTCTCTGCAGCTGTCCCGTTTCCGCCCAGTCACCGGCTGACGGCCAAAGAGGTGTTCGACAGCGATGGGAAGCCCAAAGTGGACGTGCTCAAAGCCCACCTGACAAAGGAGGGCCGCGTGGAGGAGACCGTGGCGCTGAGGCTCATCGGCGACGGAGCGGCCATTTTGAGAGCAGAGAAAAACCTGCTGGACATAGAGGCTCCAGTCACAGGTATGAGGTCTGGGATCAGGCAGCGGTTACATGGACTGTAGTAGTTTTACACCAATAAAGCAGAATGGTTTCCACACTGATGAGTCGAGGAGAGAGTTTTAGCCTTGATTTCACACTAAAGAAACACAAGTTCATTCAAAAGCACATAATTTATTATTAAAACATTGAGACTCCTAGAATCTACTATTTTGACTAGTCCCACTCAAACCAATGTCATTCTGAGAAATACAGAAAAAAGTAAACAGTGTATTGCTAAGGCAGAACTACTCGCACTTAAAAGCTAAAAGAATATTTCTTTAAAACAGTTGCATAAAAATGAACTATATATAGACAGAGAAATGGTCATATAATTTGGAAGTGAACATTACAAGCCTTTATCTTTGGTATAGATTTGTTTCTATGCAAACAAATCATTTTGTTAAGAAAAATCAATCTGAGGAGAATTTTCAAAGTCATATTAAGTGAAAATAATTATTTGTAAAAAGAGAAAAAAAAAACCTTACATAAAATAAAGAACAATATACACAGATGCATTTAGTTTAAAATAATCTTTCCACTGAGAAAATCACTTTTTTACTTTCAGCCTCTGACAAAAATGAATCAAACCCCTGTCCTACACTAAAAGAAAAAGTTAAACATATTTTTGAAATCCTCAAAAATATGATTAGATGTATTTTTTTTGTTCTTAAAGACCTTATGACGGGTTTTTTTTAAAAAAATAGTGGATATCAAAATTGCATGACAATGTCAATTTGAAAGAGATTCCGGCAAAAAAAATCCTATATTTTATAAAAAGAACGTGTTTTTCATGAATTTAAGTTGTCTATGCTCTAACCTGTGTGTGCGGGTTACGCCCATGCATTGAAAACCATGGATCTATGCCACAGGACTGCCTTTTCTCTCTTTTCTCCACTGATGCCCAACACAATACTGCACTCTACAGGTGACAATTGCTCACTACACATAAATTGCCGTTTTGAGAGTGAAAATGTGTCTGAGCTGGGATTTGAACCCCAGTATCTGGATTGGCAGTCCAACAACACAACCACTGGACTATCTCAGTGACAATGAAATGTCACATTCTAGTAGTTATTTTAGACTCGCTGTACACGGCCTTGTCATCTTGAATATCCGCGAAAAAAGAACGAATACCAAATTGTAAACAACTTACAGCATTGAAACGTACCCGTTCTGACGTCACCAAGGGCTGTGAAGTTTTTTCGTTTCTAAGGGCGTTGCTATGGGGTTATTTCGATTTGGGGGGATCAGACAAAAAAAAACAACAACTGATTTTGAAACCTTTAGTAGTTCTCTTCTAATATAAAATGGTATTAAAACTGTATTTCTAAATAAATCAAACCCGTCATAAGGTCTTTAATAAATTAAAAAAATCTTATTTGTATAAGAAAAAATATCCATATATTTAGTTAAAATATACTTGTACCTTCACTACACTTATGTAGTGAGTTTTGTCCAGTGAAACATAATTGGTTGATAAAAATTGTGAAAATTATCTTGCATGATCATAATCAGAACGTAAAAGTCAAAGTAGATGGCTACAGGATGGCCAAACCATGATCAACAATTGTTTAAAAATATCTATTCTATTCACTCTATTCTTTCACAAACACTTCATAAACAGCAGAACTTTTGCAACACGTTTCCTTCCACATTTCTGCAACTTCAGATACAGTACATTCTACCCGTGTGTTGTTTGCAATTACAGACTCTTCTTTTCTACACTCATTTAAGTTTCCCAATTTCGATTATTATCTTTTATTTTTTTTATATAATCACTTGTTTACAGCAGCTGTTCAATGTCAAACTCTGCAAAATGCTCTTTTTTCGAGTCTATGAAACTAAAGATACAACATTATACAGAAACATATTTGTTTACTGCCAGTATTATTTCCGAGGTAAAGAGTGCTAATTACTTTTGCCTATCTGGCACTGACTGATGCTGTCTTTGACCCGCAGTAAACAAGAGCTTTCTTTGTGTCTGGAAGTTAAAATGACAAACAGTATTTTTCCTCCACCCATTTTCTAATGCCTTGTTTAGTTTACGACCCTGGCTTTCCAGAACCATTGCTGTAATGGACATTGATGGCTTAGTTTTTTTGTGTGGGCAGTGAAGACGTTCAAAGAGCAGCTGTTGTTGAGACAGAATAAAGTTAATTTTCTTAATTAAGTGAGCCTTTGCGCCTTCCAGCCCGGCACGGATCACAGCAACCAGTATTTTTAGGGAACTCTGAACCCGGCTTTGGGCAATTAAAGAAACTAATGTGTGACAGGATCAGAGGAAAAGGAATTCTTTGAAAAATATGAAAGCGAGCCATCTAGCTCTGACTACAGACGCTGCTACCTCTTTTCAACAACAGACCAATACAGCTCTGACTTCAGACGCTGCTCCCTCTTCACCACAACAGTGTGATACAGCTCTGACTGCAGACGCTGCTCCCTCTTCACCGTATAAGTGTGATATGAAACACAAAGCCACAGCTCCCAGTCTTTTCCCCATTGCAAAACCCAATTTACTAAATATTGCAAATATATTTATCAGACATGTAGGCCTATATTCTAAAGTAACACTGGTTTGGGATCTCTCCACAACGTCTCCTTGTTCACTTATTAAAGTGAAATACCTGATTGTGTTTCCTAAATACTGTTGTTTTGACAAAGAAAATAATATTATAGTATGTACAGTATGTCATATTATTGTTGAATTAATAATATAAAAAGTAACATTTTGTGACACCTCAGACCACAATATGTTATCTTTTGTGTAAGAAAGAGACGTACGTGTCACAATTAGACACTTGGGGCCTAGAGATTAGGAGTGCGGCTGGTTTCTTTTTCTCTTTTGTCTTAAAAAGATGATCTACAGATGTGAGGGCTAACTTACATGCACATGAAAACCAGAGCACCTAGCAACTAGTTACAACTAGTTATTTTATTAGTTACATTTTGAGTGGTTTGAAAGTCAGGTGCCCCAGCTTTACGACGGATACGTGGTTTGTAATACTTGCCTCAAGTTAGGTTATTTTTTCATGTTTTTCTCATTTGGTCTTTCTTTTCACCAAAATGTGGTGATCTGTTAGCACCAAAACTCAATAAATGACTGGGCTGACTTTGACTTTGGAAATGGTACAAGAAAACACCCTGTAATTTAAGCACAGTTGTATATTTTGTTCAGTATCGGCCTTTGTAACTTCAAAAAGACTTTAACCGTTTAATGTTCACTCCTTGAAGAAATAAAAAAAAAAAAATTCTCTTTTGGATTTTCTAAGGTGTAGGACCACTGATTACTGTTGAGATGTGAGATTTCCCAAAGATGTTGATTTCAGTTCTGAGCATGTTTCAAGTGTATATATAGTGACTCAAAAAGTAATCTACCAAATGATTGAGGAAACCATTAAAGGGTTAAATGCATTTTCTTTATCAACGACATCACATGAGATTCCAAGATTGCTCCTGCGAGACGAGGCTTGTTTGTATATGTTGCTCTACTGAGTTCTATTGTTGCGTTTCTGCTTTGTTCAAGTGCCAGGTCGCTCCATTAGACTTTCTGATTAGGCTGCTTTGATGTTGTAATCACAGGTCTATGGCAACCTATCGTTTACTGACTGCTGCCCAAATCTCAGCTCTACAGCCGCTATTGTCTCTCTAGAGTTAGAATAATGAGATGTCCTCAGAAACATTAAGGTGAGTCGACATAGAATGGAATTATTCGGAAAAACTACTAGTTATTTAGAAAATTATTGAAGATTCATAGGTCTGGAATTGTGTAACAGCTTAAGACGTGGTTTATTGTTGCACAGAGCATAACCAACACAACAAATCTGGAACAGTCTTGCTGAAAATGTGAGACGGGCTTCTTCTCTGACAATGTTTAAATCCAGGTTAGGAACAGTTCATTTTAGCTGTGCCTATAACAGAAGGATTTTAACTGTACCCTTTTTAATGTTCTGTGATAATTTTTGGTTTTAGTGTCTTTTGTGATTTGTTTTGCAGCACTTTGTGTTGCCTTGTCTATGAAGAGTTTCACAGAGTTTACCTGGTTTTATACCAAGGCGGAAGTACTTGGTTCCTTAAAGTGATAGTCTGTAACTCTAAATGAATTGCACATTTTAAGAATTTTATTAAATTGACCTCCTGGCCTTAAATGTTGATATAAAATAAGTCATTTTTATTAATTCTAATATTAAAGGTAAGTCCCGCCTTCGCTTCTCTTAGCTATAGTTCAGAATCCACGATGCCGTCCACGTTAACCAATCAAGTGATGCCAAGGGCTGTCAATCATCGGCGCTGATGCTCGTAGCTGCGCATGCTCAGTTGATTGTTTCACGGAGCCTCCGAATCAAGCCTCCATTAGGCTCTGTTGATGTATACAGGTGGATGTAATTTCCTGCTTAGCATTGCTGCCTGTCGCACCTCCTCCGGTGCCCATGGGTCAGCTGCAGGGTCAGCTGCAGGGTCATCAGCCAGGAACCACCAATCACCAACGTTTCGCCCCTTTAATCCTGGAACGTCTCATGGTGGCGGAGCAGTGACAAGGACGTCTCCTTGTCACTCCCTGCAGCTGGAGAATGTTATCCCCCGCAGCTGTCATTGAGGTTAGCTATACTTTCCCCAACTCCTATCCTTCCTCCTCAACCAGAGCCAGAAGCTGCCCTTTTCCGCCTCCTCCGAAAGCTCTCTTGTGGCCCTGCGCAGCTTTCCCCCCGTGACTCCTGCATCCCTCAAGAGCCGTATCATTGACAGCCCCGCGAAGCCTCGGCAGCCAACTTCAACAGGGTAGATGGCGGCCTTCCATCCAGCCTCCCGGCACTCTGCAGCCAGCTCGGAATACTTGGCCTTCTTGCGCTCGTAGGCAGCCTCGATCTCCCCTTCTGATGGAACTGTGAGTTCAATGAGATGCACCACTTTTGCCTTTGAAGACCAAACCACAATGTCAGGGCGGAGAGATGTGATGGTGATCTCCGTGGGGAATTGGAGCTGTT